TTCGGTTAAAGTATATTGTACTTCGTCGAACGTTTGAAGACGTGATGCCAGCTTCAAAAACTCCACGCGCGTTCTCGGCAATCAAAAGCAAAGTTCAGCCTGCAAGACTTCTGGAATCAAGAACTCCTCATGTCCATCACTCGGTTTGCAGAAAACTGATGGCTGTTGACACCATCGAAGCAGAAAGCTATTATAACTTTTCAAGAGGTAGGGCCAGGTAGGGTGCTGCATGCTGCCCAGGAGCTCATGGCATCCTCCCGCACCATTTGGCCGTGAAGCTTGCCCGCCTGGCCGCTAGGAGATGTCTGATCTCTAGTAGTCCCTGAAATGTAGATCTGACACTGTAGTAACTGCACTAGACACCCATACCTCCGACACCAACGCGCAGACTTCGGACTTTCGTTAAGCCATTGCAGCATGCACCCGCTACACTGCTGTGCTTACCGCGATGCACGAAATTCGTCGACGTGAGATTTGAAGATCAGACAGCAATGCATGTGCCACCCTGAAACAACGACCCAGCTATTCCTCTTTTGCAGCCTGGCGCACGACCATCTGGTCCACCAGTTCTTGCCTGTACCTTCCAGGTCTGCGGTAGGGCGGTAGGTGCTTGCTGCCGTGCGGGGCTTATGAAGGACCCACAATTGCAGCCACGCCATGCAGCAATCGGGCGGAAACCCTGGAAGTGACCAAGAACCAAGCCTCTTGCTTGTCGTGCTCTGCTCACGAAAATGAGCTCTGCTGACTGTGACACATGAGTTACAGTCAAGCAGATCACAGCCTTTCCCTATACCTGGGGGCCCGGCTGGCTCCGTCTCTTCTGCAGGTCCTTTTCAGCGGCAGACTGGAGCTGCAGAGTGCTGCAGATGAAGGCACCTAAACTAAACTCCCTAAACCCCAAACCCTCTTTTCAGCACGACCCTTGGGTGTATGCCGGCAAACCCGAAACCCCAACCGTAAACCACAGCATGCATTCAGCTACCGACATAACAAGCTCGTTCGTGTATGAGCCCACCCGTCCTGCTGCTTCTTGGTCTCGATGGTGGCCTCCTTTCTGGCAAGGTCCTCGCTTGGCCATGTCAGGGCCTTCATACAAGCCTAGGGCTGTGTGATGCCTGTAACGGGATACTACCACTAGTTCTTCCGACTCCTATGATGTTGCCGTTGGTCGAGTACGCAGAAGTGCAATAACCTACAACATCAATGGGCGAAATGAGGAAACGTCTCGCGCCTCCACGATGGCAATAGCTCCCAAGATGGTTCAGGCGTTCGGCAGTAAGTTAATTGTACTGTACTATATTACGTTATATCTCAGTATGTTAGATCCTGTATAGTATCAAGCGGTTTTACAATGTAGCAGTATCAAAAAAGTCACATAGTACATTCTGCTGTGGATCAAGGCTGGGACCCCTCAAGGTGTGGACCCCCTGGAACAACCGAAGATTGCTCCTGTAAAGCTGCACATTATGTCTTTCTGGCTGCAGCAAGCCCCATCGTTGCAAGTGTTCCCCATCTCTGCATGGTCTTCACCCGTAAATGACATGGTCTCGGAGGTTCAGGCTTTGGGGGTGAGCTGCTGAGTTCTGGGGGGGGCGACTCCAGGATGACCCCGCTTGGTAACATGGGTTCGCGGTGAAGAGTGCGGTTCAATCTGGGGTTTGTCCTCGCTCTCCCGCAGCTTCGCTTGCTCAAACTCCACATCCTTCTTGCGCCTGGGTAGGCCGGGGAAGATGCCCCAGATCCCACCTCCTTCCAGGCTACCTCTACCTACCCTCCGAACCTCGAAGGCAGGCTAGCACTGATTCGTCGATGCAGCGGCAGACGTGAAAGGGGCGACGGAACTAAGGAAGGGACCGCTGCTCTTTCCTCGGCTAAGGCCGCACCGCACCAAGTTTCAACTGTTCGTTGAGTTGAAGGAGCGGCTCGCGACTGTCACCTAGCTCAATCTGAAGCTGCTGTGAAGCGCAGCCCAGAAGCTACGACTGTCCTGCGAAGAGCACCATGTGGAAAACCATCGGCCCGAAGCAGTAGTGCAGCCATGCAGCTCTTGCATCTGCTTGTGCAAAAACTCGACGTTCTCCCTGGAGCCGACAAATAGCGAAGGTGATCATGATGTGATGAGATCCGGTGTTTCCTGCTGCTGCTATTCAAGCGCCTGCTCCTGCTCCTGCTGCTGCTGCTATCTTGGGTAGAGCTTTGGGACCAGGATTGCACCTAAAGTCCGCTTGATCCCTCTTGCCGTTGAAGATGGTGGAATGCCCGACATGCTAAACCCCAAAGGGCCCTCCGAGCCCTCCAAGGCCTCCTCATCTTCCATCTCTGCTCCTCCTTTTGCCGGTCTTCGGCCTCAGCGCCTGGGAAGGGAGCTCAAGCATCAGGGTTTAGAGCTTCAGGGCTTTAGGGTCTTAGGGCTTAGAAAAGAAAGGTTTAGGGTGGGGTGATGGGGAGTTCATCTAAAGTTCGGGCTTGGGAGCCTCTGGATTGGAGCAGTCTGGACAGTCTGGAGTTCTGGACTTTCGGCTCACAACGACGAAGCTACAAGCCCGCACGAAGCTGAAAGTGTGTCAAAAGCTCTTGATTGAGTCCCATTGATACACACCGTGCCACAGTGGGCAAAATCGCGGCTCGAGCACGCTGTTGTGCGCCACACTGCCGCAGCGTGGGAATCAGGACAAAATGCTACACCACAACAATAGAGAGATATAACATGATGTACATCCATCAGCTGTCATGATCTACTAACATCTCCGTACCTAAGACACGCAACAGTCGCAATGCAAGTAAAATATACTTCGAGCTAAGGGAAAGTAAAGCCCAAATCCGAGCTCACGGCGCTGCGCCGCTGCTCGGATTGGCTCCAAGGCCTGGTGCCATCGCACAAAGGGCTTAAAGTTAAGGGTGAGGACTTAGTGTTCAGGGTTTAGGGTTTAGAGATGTCTGTTAACTCTTTTTGCGCGTCTTGCGCGCTTTTACATGGCTCCAGTTGGGTTCTCTACAGTTTAGGAAGCTTTACATACTTGGTTGCAGCGTCGCAGGACGTTTACCATGAGGACTCTTGGGATCTTGGAACAATCTCAACTGCCCGCATAAGCAACTGTAAATTCCTGTCAAAGCAAGTGTGCCGTGGTAGTAGTCGTCGTCGTAGTAG